TATAAATGGAACAATCACCTTCAACGGGTTTTTTTCTTATCGCGAATTTTATTTCCTCAATAGGCGTAGACATTATAAACCAAACGTGTAAGCAACGTTTGGAATTTCTGAATGTTAGATGTCGATTTAGCCGAGGTCGCTAAAGGATTCTAAGCTCCTTGTGAGGATATATATATGACTTGCGTTAATTTTGAAATTTTCATACCTAAAAGATCGGGTTTTAAAGTAATATTTAAAATTAAATGTTAGAGATCTTTATGTTTATTTATAATAAAATATTATTAATTATTGTGAAGTACGGGAATTTGAGTTTAAAGTGATTCAAAAATAATACAATGAATTCTTGCCACCACTTCTCCCAATGACGAAATTAAGCCTCTTTCGCGGAAATTTACAATTTGCAAACCAAATTTGACTTATATTTCTTCTACTATTTAGAAACCGAAAAATTGAGAAAATTTCAAAAAATGTAGTTGGGCGACAATAGATGGCAGTCGGCAAGAGGATGCGGCAAGATCGAAATGATACCCTGACCAAACAAATTAGAAAACTAACTATTACGGGAAAGTCTGTGCCATTCTGTAGCACCACTAGATTTTTTCTTCGTGCCTATTTTATATTCAAATTTGTTGTGGCACCTTTCTACGTACATACGTTATCATACTCAATACAGAAACTAAAAATTACAACTTAAAAATTCAGAAATGTATTTAAAATCATTAATTTTGCCTCAGAATTTCTTATTCAAATCTTTACAGTTCAAAGGCAGATATTTCAAGAAATCTATCTAGCAATTCATTAAAATTTGTTTACTTGAAACGGAATTTGATTTGGTTTCAGTCTCGCGAGGCTTTCAACAATTTTCTGTCTCTTTTGCGTAAGTATTTGGTCAACTGTAAATGGGTTTAATGCTTGACAGTATCTCACTAACAAAAATAAATATTCGAAAGCAAACAAGTCTCCAGAAGGTTTTTCTATCACTTCATCCGAATGATTTTGATTCGTCAACTTGAAAACGAGTCGTTTGTAGTGATATATCCTCAATATTCGCTTTAAAATCCCCAATGCGCAAAGTTTTATTAACGACCTATTCTCAATACTTCATTCAACAGCCCTATTACTTTAAATGGCTTACAAATGGCTTACAAACGACGATGAATGACTAGCGAATTAGCTATTTTGGTTTTTGAAAATTCTATCACAGCGTTGTTTTGTTTTGATTTGAATGCATGACGTACGAGGCACATTCAATCCGACAACAGCTACTACAAGGAATTGAATGATCGAATTTGAATGATTCGTAGTGTGGTTCTAGACGATATGACTACAAATTGGCGAGCACTTCTGCGGCTTTCACGTTAATTCTAAATTAGTTTTCAGTACGTCCCTACAGAAAAACTGCTTTATCGCTACGCATTGCTACTGAGAACTCTCCAACGACTGGACCACTGTACTTGTGAGTGTTGGCCTATTTTGCATTAATTAATGAAGGTACTCTCAGTTAGAATAAGTTTTTTAGTTGCTCAGAGAGTACAGAGATATTTGATATCTATTGATGAAAGAAAAAAATATATAGAATTCAGCCCACACGTATCTGCCTATTGGTGGGTTAGGTGAAGATAGGAAATGATGAATGGTGAGTAAGAATTGAGTAAGATAGATATAGATACATTAATTGAAGTTTTCTTTGAGCTAATGCTCGGTGGCAAACATGGTTACAATAAGAATTAGAACAAATGTCTGAACAGTATTGCTTGGAAAAGAATTCACACCAAAATTTAGTTTTGGTTACTATAATTTTACCTAGCGCTATCTGCTAATAAAAAATAATGTACAGGATGTGTGGAATCTAAGAAGATATAAAGAACTACGGCATCTAGGTATGAAAAATGATCCCTTTTTCGTGAGCTTTCATCTCATTCTTATGCATATTACCTTCGAAACGTTTATCGTTAAATAATGCGTGTATTTTAGTCTGTAAACTTAATTTTATATTTCGTAATGTGTATTTGTAATTATGTGGTTTATTGTAGCTAATATAATTATTCTGCATCTTAATTACGCTGTATATTTCACTGAGACATCACTAATCTTTCTATTAAGGTGTGTCGTGAAGCCCATTTTGTAAATTGGTAACGCCGATGAACCTTTGTACGTAACTTACGTTGCCTCCGATCGAGCACATCACAATGACGTTTCCTTTCAAACTGTGAGTAAAATAGAATGCAAACCAGAAAATGACTTCCCGTATAACGATATGAAGATTTACATCGTTGCCTCGGAATAAATGTTACTAACGTCTAGGACACGTAAGTGGTAGAAAATTATACGCGAAATCCCTTTGTGTCCGAACGTAATACGCTTCACGATATTGCACGATGAGTTGCCTACCCTTTACGGTAAAAATGTGTGTGTGACTTTGTGATTTTAAATATCCCATCAACATATTCATAGGCCAAACGTTCTCTCATTTTTTGCCCTACATTTCTCAGAAGTTTGTAACGTTATTCTAAAAAAGGCAGTATTTTATAGAGCTTATTTTAGTACATATTTTTGAAGATTTTTCTACTTCTGTACGAACGTATTTAATGATTAGATTATACGAGGGTTGGGACACGTCATTGCAACTTTTTTTGCGAGAATACGAGCACTGGTGGAAAATGTGGAATATCCACACGAAAGGACAAGATATGAACAAGGTGCATGTATTTTTAATAACACATCAAAATTGTGTTTCTCATATTTTTATTAAGTTATTTTAAATGGTTTCATATTCCATAGAATTTTAGCATACACGAGTTCATGACTTTCCAAAGACAAAATTCCCCCCTGTCCCGATAAGGCAGATGATTGCCACACATGCCTGGATTGCTGAACACTGCTTGCTACGCGTCCTCGCGAAAAAAATCGTTGTCATGACCTCTGCCTCAACCCTCGTGTGTTCCCTAATTAAGAAGAAAACGTGGGCGTTTTCCCCACCTCTTCCTCCGGTCCCGGCTTCGCGAGGTCGCTCCGCCGCCGCCGCCGCCGCCGCCGTCGCCGCCCGCTCGTGTGGAGACCGCCACGGC